CTATTATCGACCCTGTTTAAGCTAAATATTTACTTACTTAATCGGTGTATATAAAAAGTTGTATTTGTATTTATAAAAATTTATAAGTTTTTTTCAAAAGTAAATACGTACATTGATTTATTGCATCAAACTAAATTCGAACAAATATTCATTTCAGGAAAGATTGAACTTAGATACGCTGCTAAGTATTGCTAATCAAGGGTTTCGACTTAAGGGGGATAATACAGGTAGTTAACCTATTATTGACTTTATAGTTAATAAAAAATAAAAAAAAGACTATTTAAAAAAAAGTTGTTGTCGTGTATTCAAATTTATTACGATACATTCATGTGACGTACGTAATAAAAGCAGTGGATTTTTTTATAAAATAGTGAATTATGCATTTTCTTGTAATTATTAGTGAAAGATTATACGAATACTGTACTTAAATAATGCAACCTCACTTTTTACGTGTTAATTAGATTAAAGTGTCAGATATTTATAGTTCTAGAGTTTTGTGAGCTACATTATATAATAAAATAATAGAAAAAAGCAGTTTATGCGTATACATAAGCCTATTATTATAATATCTGTAATTATAGCTTAGATTTAATATAATTAAACAGGCTCAACGATAGGGTCATCTAACCTATTGTGAGCAAGAACTCGCAACGAACCTTATATTACCTAAAAAAGCAAAGAACGTCAAATAATTTTGCGGGTTGGCACCAAGTGTGCACAGAGAGCTCAGTCTAACTAGCATACCTATATACGTGTGTGTGCATGTGTGTGTGTGTGTTCACGTGTGTCTGTTTGTCGCTTAAGTTATTTCTGTACAATTCTAAGCAGCAGTTGTTATTCAATCATGGTACTGCGAGACCTTGTGTAAAATCTCAAGTTTACGGTGTAATTTTAAAGGACTCTATGATTTTTCTTCCAGATAATCTAAGCCCACAACATACGTCAAACTAGTTTGAAGTTTAAGTTCATGTTCGTAATTTAATTTTAATAATAAGCAAATTAGCCATTTAGGTATTGACAGTGCTACCCAAATGATCTATTTTAATCACATAAAACAGTCAGTTGGCGCTTTGGAGTATTTGTTTTTCTTTTTTTTTTTTTTTAGATATATCAAGTGGAATTTTCTCCTACTAATAAATTATCTGTTACCATCAATATGATAAAAAATAATAGTTTTTATATTATGACAAGTAGACAAGTAGTCGCGTAGTTTCTTCAGGGGAGGGGTAGTCAATCAAAACATTTGTTTTTGTACATCCATACAGTTGAAAGTTAAGAAGGCTTAGGAGAAAAGTTTAAAATGTAGAATCGTACCAAAAAAATGTATGCTATATTTTAGCATATTTGGACTGCTTATTAATATTTTCAGATTTCTTACCCAGGGGAATTCTCGAGAAAATAATTTTTAAATATTGACAGTTCAACATGGTCTCTTGTGAGAGAACAAGGTTAAGTTGCCTTTTAATTACAAATTAACGCAAATTATAAATGTGTTAGATTTAAAAAAACGTTTTCAGAGATGCTTTCGTACAAAAGGAAGATGATCAACAAAAAAAAAATCACGACTCACCAGGCATTTTTAAAAAATATAATCAACTAGCGGTCCCCCCGTCTCGGCTTCGCCCGAGACTCACTCAAAGGAACACCATAGGTGTTGACATGTAATGTGAAACGTTTTTAGTTAAAAATTTTACATCTATTTTTAACGCTTCTCAAAACAAAAATTATCTTATTAAAAACTTATTTGTTCGGAATGCATACAGTTTATTTTGTCAAGCAAAAAGCTGTGAAAAATATAATTATGCTGAAAAGTACCATGCATTCCTTATGCCATAAAATAATCGTTGGCCTTCAAAGGCCGTTGATTTGCAGTTTCTTCCATATAATCTATGAACAGGCCTATTATTGAAAGCTGTAAAAATTCAAAGCTCACAGAAAATATATAACTTAAAATTTTTTTTCTATTATCTCACAACTTTAAACCAGAGCAACAAGGTCCTGGAGCTTAATCTCTACATTTTTCATTGCAACAAAAATACAAATACATATTCTACCCATTTAAAAATCTAGAAGATTAAAGAGATTACTATAAAGATTATAGTGAAAAGCTGATCTCTCACTTAACAAATTCTTTCGTCATTTTCTCGACGCCTAAAATTGTGTTCACAAGATGCATTTAAAGTTTTTTTTTCCAATTCAACTTCTTGTAACTTTTAGCATAGTTGAGACTCTTGTGAGTCCTGAAGGCTATTTTTTTCAACTTTGTAAGGTTGTAATAAATTTCTCAGCAAGGTCATTCGACATCCGATGACCCTGAAAAGGACCGTCAGCTTCTTAAGTAAACTCATTCTTGACTAAAGTTTCCAGCAAACGTAATTGCCTCTATACTTTAGGGTGATCTTCTCTGGCCTGTTATTGTAGCATCACACTAATTGGGAGAAAACTACAATGTTTGAAGCTTTGAAGCTAGTTGTAGAGCTCTTTCTCGACGTCTTCTGGTATGAAGTCGGAGACGTTGGTGTCAAAAACACATTCTTTTTTTTGCACACTCAGTTGTTTTGGTGACTTAAGGTGGAGAGATTGGTTCGTGATGCTTGCTCGTTGGAGACAATTTAATTTTCTTTCATAGCCGTTAGGTTCTCTTAGCGCAGATCTTAGAGAAGATCAGTGATTTCTGGTTAAATACTTAAAGTCAAGATGGTAATATAGAGTCATCGGTCATCGGGGTTCACAGCCTTGCAACAAACAACTCTGCTCGTGACGTCTGCCAGTGAATGACTGACTTGGTTTAATAGTGGCCGGCTTTATATAGTCTGTTAGTCGACAAATCGTTTCTCGAAATAGTATTAAACATGAATTTGTTGGCAAGGTAGTTCAAACTTAGGTGACCCTTAAAATAACCGATGAGATTGGTGGTTAAGTAGGGAACTTAAATACTTTTAATGGCCCTGAAAAGGGCTAGTGGTGAAACTTCCAGTTATTTCTTATTATTGTTCTTGGTGATGGAGAGTGAGCTTGACTCATTTCCTTGGAGTCTTTGTGTACGGAGACCATACTGGAGGTACGCCGCTGACAAAAAAATATCTCGTCTTCAGATCGTTCTCTGGATAACCAACCGCTCATCGTTAGTAGGGAAAGTGGGCCTAGAGAATACCTTCTCTGTAGGTATGCCATTGGGACAACCACTAAGAAGGAAGCCGTACTGGCTACCCGTGCTCCTCAGGGCTGTTCTCCCTGGATTACGTTTGTGGTAAAAATTCCTCTGACAGCTCCAGGCTGGATGGTGAAAGGCCATAAAGCTCAAAACTCTGAAGTACTGGAGCAGGTTGTACTCTAGCTAGACACGTCTCCTGGTATTCCACCGAAGACGTTGACGTTTCAAACGCCTATTTCTCTGTGACACTCAGTTATTTTGGCAATCTGGGGTTAAACCCGATTTATTTCGCTTGCCCATGAATGAAGAGTGTCACCGGTAGCCGGAATGCCCAGCTGTTTGACGCACTACTCTGTTCTTGGCCTAGTGCCGATGATCGATTTCGATGATCGTTATCTCAATGGGTCATCTTATAACCACTCTTCACTATCTTTGATTGCGGGTGGCTTCAATTATATCTCAATGCCACCTAGCAGATCCTACTGAACTAAATCTCAAAGCTAGGTTATTTCAGCAAAACTTTCAGCTTGTTTATCGCTATTATTATTCACTTTTTCAAGATAAAAACTATGAGAAAACTATCTCGGAATTATCAAGAATCAGTATGCAAAATTTCAGCAAAATCGGTTTAGTAGTTTTTGCGGTTAGCGTTTACAACAGTTTTAGCAACTTTTCTTTATATATTAGTAAGATTACAGTTGTACAGTATAAAGTATGTAGATTGCAAGAGAGGTGCGTGGTAAAGGGGGCATATCTGCGCGGGTAGGGGGGACCTCCCGTTCCTCACCCCTTTGAATGATACTTCCAAATCGCCTTAAGGTGGCTCCAGTGGCCTCAATGTTAAAATTATAAGTAACCCAACTGAGGTTAATAAAATTGAATTATATTCTTTGAATTCCCATCTTTCTAATAGTATAAATAAAAACTAAGGTTGACGATGAAAATTGTAAGAAATCATGCTTACAAAATCGTAGTTTTAAGACGGGTTGGATAGAAAATGCAAGCTTACGCGATATACAACCTACTGCTGCACTAATATAAATAACCCGTAAGGTGTAAAAAATATACTATCTTGTATATATTATTACGTAGTTTTCGATGACATGAGAAAAGTGTCTCATTATCGAACAAAATCTTTAAATAATCGGAGACTAAGTATACAGTTGCGAGTGCAAGTCAGCTCTTAGCTGTCTGCATTCTGCAGAGTACATATATAAATAGGTATGACTACAGCTGAGCAATGTTGCCACATTCTTGAACTTAGGAGCGTACCGTAACAGTTCATCAATTAGGGCAGCATAAAACTTTTTTGTTTTTTTTATATTTACTCACTAAAGTAACAGATAAAATGTAGAATATGGCTTACAATAGTCTCTACGATAGTTTATACCATATTTTAAAGAAAATAATAATTAATTTTTAGTCTCCCCATTTTGATACGGCACTAGGCGCTGGAGCCACCTTAAGTACTCGGTTTTTCTCTTTGCCTCTACGAGATAAAAACAGCTAAAAAAATTATCACAAGCGACTGTTTTTTTCAGAAGTTTTTATCTTAAAATGTAACTATGTGGTACAGCAATGTCAAATAACGCGTTTTCCAAATCAATTATTATTTTCAGTATAATTAAAGGATAAGTCGTAAAGTAAGGAAAAAACAGGAACACTTTTTAGTGGAAAATTAACATAATTTTATTTTTCACGAAAAAAGCAGTCTACGGCAGAGTTTGAAACTGACAATTTAACTTTATTTTTAATTTTTTAATTGAATTTATTAAATCATCATTTTTAACTTTAAGGACATACTCGAATTTATTTTTTACGAAACTTAAAAAAAAATTATTCTTACCTATAAGCATTTCATACATTATGACTCCTAAGGACCAACAATCGCAAGCTGGTCCATAACCTGTTTGTAAGAATACTTCAGGAGCTATATAATCAGGTGTGCCAACTGTACTATAAGCTAAAGCCCTTCTGTTTCGCTTCCAACTTTCAGCTCTCCTCTTACTATCTATAGCACTGCCACTTCCACCACCACCATAAGAAGTCACTAAAAATTGTAATGAAAATTAGTTAAATAATATAAAATTGCAGTTTTTTTTGGATAGTAGTTTTGTCATTAATAAATTAAAAAGAATTATAATGTGTTGTTTACTGACAAACAACTTACAATAAAATTTCTCATTATTTCTTCACAATAAACTTTTGAATATGTTTACGTACTATATACAATTATAAATAAATACTGTTAACTAATAAGTAGAATCATCTTTACCTGGTTCATTTTGCTACGCTCTAAAAAAAAATTAATTTATTAGCACTCAAAATAGTTACACAACTTTTGATAATGCACACGCCTACATACGTCAGTTTTTAAAAAACCAGTGTGAGGAACTTAAACTCTGCTCTGCATATTTTATAACTTACATATTTCATATTTTATTACATTCTCAAATGTTGCCATTTTATAATACATCTAATACAGCAAAGTGAATGACACGACAAGCTTGTCAGCACTAGCTCTCCGTATTTTTACTTCAAGCAGAGTATGATGATATTTAAATAGTGTTGTCTTTTATAGTTAAAAAAATAAAAACATGTATATGAAGCACAAAGAAGTAGATTCATTTAAAATCTATTTCCTAATCTCCATCGAGTAGAAATTTTATTGAGGAGGAGAAAGTTTTTTATGCAGGGCATATCATTTAATGTGGGAGAATGTCTGATGGCAATGCCGTAATAAATACAAGGATCTCATAAGGTTACAGAAATGGGAGATACAAGCAAACAGTTCCTTACTACTGTACGATAAACCCAGCCAAAACGTTTTCATATTGCACAAGTAGATTGTCAGTGTAAAAATATTTTTTAATACCTGCAAAGTCATAAATAATAAATATCTGTAGGGGTTTGTGCGAGAAGGGAGCAGAGGGTTAGAATCCCATATATATATGAATACAAGGAGATCTTTCCTCTGCGCACTTCACGCACCAAACCCCCTCGCCACTACTCTAACTTAAAACAAAAGATATTCAATACATAAAATAGCAATGTAAGTTAAATTTAAATTTCTTGTAATGCTATATGTTTTAGAAATTGATATAAATTTACATTTATAGTATTTATATATATAGTTAAAACAAAATATAGTTATTGAGAGCAATATGCCAAAGCGAAAAATGGTTTCTCATTTCAGTTAATATTTTTTTAGTTATTGGATACAATTTTTATACTATGTCAGAATTTATTCGAAACAATTTGATAACTGTTTAAAATTCAAAAATTACCAAAATTTTAAAATAACGTTAGTTTCGTAAATACATAAATCTATATATATCTATCTATACATATTACTGTGGATATGTAGGGCTCTTGATAACTACCACGATCATTACTGTTTGTGTTTAAATACAAAAAACTAGATTAATTCTTGTTATGTCATACCATATATAAATTTGTATGAGACATTACATTAGAAAATTCAACTGAATATTTATGACTAGCCTATTAGTTGTTAAAAATAAACTCAGTACAAAAAAATGTACCATTTTTAAGTTGTTCTATTACAGAATATTAAGGATATTGAATAGAATAATTAGTTTTAAATTTCTATATTTAAAAGGGTGGTGAGATTAATTGGTAGGAGGTTTGTCACCTGCTCAACCAAAATGACTTTTTAATAGAGGTTCATGTATAAATGTACACTCATATGTAATGTAATAATTTCTGAATATCAATCTATACATCCTCTCCCCACCCTTTCCCAAAACACACTCTGAATAAGGTATAATTCTATCAGTTTAGACGTCATTTTATGAGATTTAACGTTTGTTTGCCTATTTTAGCCCCATTACACCTCCCTCACAATTAAAAAATCCCACCGCAGCCCCCCTCTAGCTAAGGTAAAATTCTATCAATTTTCGTGTTATTTTTATTCGGTCATTGGAGAACTACAATAGAAGAAATACCTGTCCATCCAAAGGACAAATTTTTTCTTAGTGCAATAAAAAAAATTGTTATATTCTTTTACATAAATTTTTGTTGGTGTGCAAAAATCAAAATTTTACTATTATTTTTATTCTAATTCCAAATGTTTTAAAAAACTTATGACAAGTAACGTAGTACGTAATCGTAAGAAATTATTTTTGGTGATTAAAATGAGAATTTTGTGATCAATGAACATTTATAAAAAAAATTATTTTATAAATTTATTTTTTCGTAGCTGTGGAATTGACACTACTTGTATTTTGACTCTGATTTACATTACAAGAATGTTCGTTATTGCTTAACTTTAAAAGACGTACAAAATAAATCAAGTATTCAACCTAATCAAAAAAGTAGGAATCCTAATATATAGACACAAATGAGTATTCTGACTTAAGCTAGCAGTCTACATATAAAAAGCCAATTTATGTAGACTTTCACTGACTTACGCAGACTGTCTGCATACGTTTTCAATGTTTCATGTGTTAGAATATAAGTAAATTTATATTAGATGCGTAAGTAGTGACATCTGTGATGCGGCATGGGTACTGTAAGTGCGAGATGATGTGTGTGTGTGCTGTTTAGTTTGTACAGTGATACAGTTGGAAGAGACAGAACATGGGAGTTGCCACGCAGAGTTGTAGAGGCTCTTTGTATTATGAGAGGAGAACTTGTAATCTTGTTCAATCTTTATTTCTATTGTAAAATATATTAATTTAAGTGTTAACAAGTGTTAAATTATTGATCAACTAACTCATAGTATACTTATTAAACACCATGTATATGGCTAAGAAGCTAAGTTTGATAAAATTCCCGGGACCCAATTCGGCATTTTTTTATCTTGGGACCCAACTCGGCATCAGCCCATTTAATAGCCAGCATTTGATCCGGTAGTCTGATAAGGTATCTGGGACTCAACTCGGCTGTCTTATAAAATGCCTGGGACCCAATTCGAAATTTTTCTTTTCTTGGGACCCAACTCGGCATCAGCCTACAGGGGCTAATACCAAGTTGAGTCCCAAGATAAAAAAATGCCGAATTGGGTCCCGGGAATTTTATCAGACTGCTGAGTTTGGTCCCAGCTATCAAATGGACTTCTTAGTTTAAGAATTGATCCAACTTATAAACACTTCTTTTGTCGTTATACTTTATCCAGTCTTCAGACTGGCAGTATAGTAAAACATACTGGCGTGTTTAAAAATGTGTTTGTGTTTTCGTAAATTTCGTCATAAATTGTAAAAATGTTTTTGTGACACCCATCATAAATCGCTATTTTATTTGCTGTTGTGATGCAGGTAAAAATTTTGTTGAACGGCATAGTGAAGATGAAAATCATGCCCAAAATTTATGACGTCATTCTATAGCCAAATTGGGTTCCCGGCATTTTATCAGACTGCCGAGTTAGGCCCTGGTCATTAAATGGACTTCTGACTCATGAGTTTTTAATTGATTTAGTTTATATACACTACTTTTTTTCGTAACCCTCTTACATACTAACTGAGTTATTTTAGATTTATCTTTGTTAAACGTTTTTCGTTTTAGAAAATTACTTACAAGCCATTTGTTCATCGAAGCTTCGTCGATATGTGCATGACTATGTACCATAGGATTTTGTACAGTTTAGGATAATTTACACAAAGTGTATAGACCAAGTCGACGACTGATAAGAAACATTCGCACCCTAAATTATACCAAATCACCTCTATTTACACATTTAATATACATATATGTATATTTACATATACACACACATAGGTATCCAATCAAAACAAATGTCAAAATCCAACTCCTAGATAAAGTTTATTTAAAACAAATAGCAACATCCGAGACGTGGATCAAGTATAACGCAAGAACTGTAATGTTTTAAAACTAACTCAATAAGAAACTGATGAGTCAGTGGTCCATTTAATGACAACAACCCAATTTGTCAGTCTGCACGAGTCAATTTTAACATATATATACATCGACGGCTTGGTAAAAGACAGAGCTAACTCAGATACTTAGTGAAAAAGGGGCCAACTCGAAATTTGGGTTGAAAAAGCAGTCAACTCAGATTTGGCTTGAAAAAGGAGTCAACTCAGGGTCTGGTTAAAGAAGCAGCCGACTCGGGAGTAATTTTTTTTCATCAAGTTTTGTCGTGGTAGCACTGACATTCACAATAAAGGTAAGCGAACAAAGATTTTTCACAAAAACAATGATCCAGGAGAATAATTTGTCATTGTAATGGAGCACATTATACTTATTCAATCATGTGCTTCAAAAGTTTCGTGTGGTTAGACGTAATTCAATGATCAGACTGTAGACATTACTCATTTTGAATGTTATCTAAAAAAATTTGAACTGATTTTTTTTTTTTTTGATACATCGTCTTGAAAAAACGACTTATTTCAACTACAAATGATAATTTTTTTTTAACTTAGTAAAAATAGTTATTATATTCTTTAATGTTTTCCTAAGTATCAAACGCATAAATTATTTGTCAACGTAGCGTATTATTTTATAATATTTTAATGAAAACTGCGATATTCTTGTACAAAGTGATAAGGTATCTATACACGAAAATTCATATTTTTGAAACTGTATTTGTTTGTATGTAGGTTCGTATACAACATTATAGTCATATTTATTTAACATTTTCTCTGCCTCCTATGATTACAGCAAAATTTTGAAGCACATAATTTAATAAGTATAATACGCGCGATTGCAATAAAAAATTGTTCTTCTGAAACATTGGATTATTGAAAAATCTTTGTTCGTTTATGTAGGTTGACCTTTATTGTAAATATCAGTGCTACCACGACAAAACTTAATGAAAAAAACGACCCTGAGTTGGCTGCTTCTTCAACCAGACCCTGAGTTGGCTCCTTTTTCAAACCAAATCTGAGTTGACTGCTTTTTCAACCCAAATTTGGAGTTGGCTCCTTTTCCTGTAAGTATCTGAATTGGCTCTGTCTTTGATCAAGCCATTGATATCTTCATTTTCTTATTTATCTTTAGATATTGTATTTTTAATCTATGGTTATATAGACATTGTTCATTTAATTTTAAGTACATAACTAAGGATTT